TCACAAGTTTTTGTCATGGATATTTTGTGGTCAGAAGATAAAAAGTTTGGGAATACTGTACTATACGACCTGTTAGAAACTTTCTGAACTTCGTTTTTTTTTTTTTAGATTTCAACACTTTTCTCCATTTACACATAAAAAAGAACTATTTTTTTTTATTGCTGCACTGCATATTTAATTTGTTAATGTACAAACGATCAAGATTTAACTGATAAAACATTTATTTACAGATATTTTAGAATACTAGTCTACACCAATGTATACATGTTCTGATTCATCTGCAGGTATTAAAAAATGTTATTGATACAGCAGGCTCTAAAAGTTACACTTTCAGACTGGCACTAACACTGGGTGAGGACTTCACTCTTCAAGTGCTGTTTTATTTCACTGCTTCAACCTGTTGGTGAAAGTCTCACTGTACGCAACAGCAACAGTCTTTGCAGGTGATTATCAACCTGTGTACACATCAGCCTGCGTTAAAGTGAAAACAAAACTCAATTCAGTCTCTTACTGGAACTGTGTAAACTTTGGTTAAATCTTAAAATAAATCCAGAAAAGCCATTGAAGGATTCAAGGAACTGGAAAGCAGCATGTCTGAGAAAGTTTCTGTGAAACCTGAATGAGCCCGGTTCTTCAGATTCTGATCCAGATGTTGAGCTGATGAGCYCACCTGGTGGCAGCAGACCTCCAGCAGCTCAGAACCATTAGGAAATAAAGAACATGATGACAGAGGCGCATGTAAAGAAGACWGGTTACCTGATGTGTTGTATTAAAGTAAATCTGGAGAGAACAGCACCAAACCTCTGATCTGTCAGCTCATCTGGGAAGGTAAATGAAGTGTTTTCATCAGGCCTCGTTCGGATGATGCTTCAGTAGTAAACTGTACAGAATGTGCTCGTCTTGGTCCCGATGACTAACATTTATTTTACCTTCAGCTGATTCTTTGGACCAGTCACCCCTCAACCCTTTCATAAGGAAGATTACAGATGTGTAGGTTTGAGTTACACAGAACATTCATTTCAAATGTGACGTCAACATGTTGCCACTTATTAAACAAACAAATCTTTCTCAAGAAGACAGGGGCCTCCTGTTAGGAGAAGCAGGCTCCATCACACCGAGTTGGTTGGATGAGGGCAGGCTGAATGAACCCCTCTGGGTGGGTTTCTGTGGGGACGGTCACTGTGGGGTTCCAGCAGCAGCAGGCACCGAGGTGCTCATGGGGTTGGTGGCAGCTGACAGCACTGGTGAGCCGGTGAGAGGACCCAGGGCAGTGGAGGCTGGCAGGGCAGAGATACCTGAGGAACAGAGCACCTGTTCAGTCTGCATCCACACAGAAAGTACCTCACAGTGACTTCAGCTTTGATATCAGTCGAGCATTAAAGCAACACGAGCAGAGCTGGTTTATTGATCTGTTACTACAGGATGGACKTCCCTCCTCTCACTTTGATTTTATACACATTATTGAATGTTACACTGAAGGCTGGGCAATAAATCTATAGAAAACAGTGATATAAAACATAAACCCAAATAAACTACATCTGATAGTAGGGTTGGGTGATTATTTGATCGCAATTATTGATGGAGAAAAACTTCAGGTTGATCACGGTGATCAGCTGTGAGCCTCTTCCTTGATCAAACATGGTGGAAATGTGCACGACAACAGCCAATAAGTTGCTAATGAAACGCAGACAAAAATCGCAGAATTAACTAAACAAAAAGTAATCCAGTATAAAACACTAAATCTCACGGAGTTCACTTATTTGGGTGAGTTTCTGAGATATTTTGGACGCTGTCGCTTCCTGTACCTGCTGTTACCTGCTGACAGGCACACAAGGTGAGCTCTGAGCTCCTCTCCTGACACAGAGGGAGAGAGGAGGGGGGGGGTGAGCCAAGATGTGTGGCTCATTAAAACAAAAGCGTCCTCCAAAAATTTGAAGTGGTCTTAGGGTAACGTTTAGGACAGAACAATGTCCCATCAGTTCTTCATTTATCTGGAGAAGAACTTTCTGTAAGTTTTATCGGCACACGATGGGCTGGACGAGACGTGAAGACCACTTCCTGTCTGAGTCTCATCACCACTTCCTGTCTGAGTCTCATCACTAACAGCAGCTGAGAGACGCTGCAAACTCCTGAACACTCAGAAGCTCAGAGTTCATAATCAGATATTCTTTCAGAAAAACTGAAACAGTGTTGTTTGTTGTTTGATAAAGCTCTGTAAACAGGAGGTGGGGGTCCTTCCATAATAAAAGTAATGAGCTTAGATCCTATTCAAGTGTGCACAAATGTCTGCTGTTTGTAGGGTTTATGTTTCTTTATGACATACTTAATGTGAAATCCATTTCTAAAACCTGTCACAGCCCAGCTCAGTGAGGTTGGTGACATATCTAACTCCCTCACACTCTGGTCAGCTGCAACAACCTGCTCAGTAATCTGCAGCAGCTTCATGTTTCACACCGTGCCTCAAAACTGAGGAAAAATRCAAAGGAGGTGGAGTGAAAGGTTTGGTTTCCACAGGAAACGGTGGCTAAAAGATGACCTCTGACACCATGGCGCCCTCTTGTGGTCCAATTCCAACATAAAACCAGAACCTGATGAACACATTTCTACTGTGATGGTTTGATAAACTGAAGAATCCAAGGCAGGAAGCTGGTTCTTCTGTTTTATCCTGCATTCTTTTTATTGTTCTATTGTTCTTTATCTAAGAYAAAAGTTTTCTGACTATGGTGCACGTGTTCTCACCAGTGATCATGTTGGCCGTGGTAACAGCTGGGTTCCCACTCTGCAGGTTGACTGAGCCCACCAAACGAGACTGCTCTTTCACAATAGAGACTGGATGAATAAGAACAGAAAATAAATGAGGATTTTCACGCTCATAGCTGTAAGTTGAGAGCAGAATGAGCAGAGCTCACAGAAGTAAGGATGATCCATGGCTTCGCGGGCGGTCAGTCGAGCCTGGTGGTCGTAACGCAAGAGTTTGTCAAGGAAATCCAGAGCTTCAGGACTGACCAGGTGCTGGTTCTCACTGTGGACAAAACGCTCCCATCGTTTACGAGAATGCCTGAGGAGGAGAAGGACGATTCTGTAAAACAGCCACTGAACTGCACCACACGTGATGGTCCATGTAACAACATGTTCTGACCACAGATGGCCTACAACTCTTCATTAGAGATACAAGTTATCGATTAATGAATTAATCTAAAGTCATCGATCTTATTGATCAAATTTAGATTAATTGATAAGCAGCCATTTTCTTAAAAATCTGAGTTTKCTCTTGTTTCCATAACATGAAAGCTAATCTTATATAATATGCTGACTTAAAAAATGAAGCAAATCAATATATTTTAAAGGAGCAATATTATGTGTGTTCTCAGGCATACAATTTATACCACAATAAAGTATCTATGTCACCTTTAGCTGTTATTAAAATTCTGTTTTTATGTTGAAATAGAAAACTAGACACTGCATAGCGGTAACATAATGACCTCCACACGCACAAATGCACAAGAACTCAGAAGTCTTTATTCCTAATAAATGTCATGCTACTAGGTGCATCCCAAAATTGTAGTGGTTTGGGTGGGGGTCTTTTTTTGGATGGGGTGGGTTGGCCAACCTGATGGATAGCCCCTCATCAGAGCTAAACAACCAAAGAAATCTGAAGCTCCTATGTTTAATAGTTTTTGAGCTATAAACTATTATGTATGTCCAGATACCCCTTTTTCAGATAAATTGGGGGTCTGGGGGGTGGGGGCACTGATTGCTGGGCCTGATGGATAGAGCTTCATCAGAGCTAAACAACAAAAGAAATCTGAAGCTCCTATGTTGAACAGTTTCTGTTATAAGCATTTTTGCATGTCCTGAGACCCCCTCTTTGAAAGGAGCCCCCTCCTCAAATATGGGGTCTAACATAAAACCGTTGGCTGGCGCAGTGTAGGTCAGACTCATCTACAGTCCTGCCAAATTTCATGTTGATTGGTGCAGCTGTTTTTGTGCTACGGTTGACCAAAAATCACTGAAAAAATAAAATAATAAACAGTACGAAAACAACATGACTCCCGCTTACACTTTGCATGAGGGGGTCCTAATAAACTTGTCTTCTCATCATTTCTGTTTCTAAAAACTTTGAAATTGGCCTCTGTCTCTTAAAGAACCTCCTTCTGCTTGTTCATGGCAATCCTAATTTATGATTTTTCTCCGATTCTTTATGTTTGCTGCCTTCTTGTTGGTTCTCTTTGCGGCTGAAAATGACAGATTTTTTTTTTTTTTTTACTCTGAGAGGAAAGTGGGTCTAACCTGGGTCTGTGGCTGGAACATAAAGACCCTACTCTGTCTTCTAGAGCTCAGAACTGATGCTTGGTTCTACCGGCCCAGTAAGAGTGGTTTGAGAGAAGGAGGAAACTGATAGTGGATTGAGGTGTTTATTTTTCCCACAGGACCATTATTCCTGCTCGCAGTATGAGGCGCATCAAATCAGATGTCAATTTAAGAAAATAAAATGTTACGTATACTATTTATCATAACTCCAGTTCTACTTTGCCTAACAACACAATTTAAAAACTGGTTTAAAGTTTGACTCAAGTGGAAACAGTCTCAGGGAAGACGTATCTTTCGGATTAGAGCGATTTAAATGGACCGTGTGATGCACCGCGGGATGTTAACAGGTAATGCATAGGACTGGATTTTAATCTAATAAACCATTATTCGACAAATAATTGTAAGTTGATTAACTGTCTGCATCCCTACTCTTGATAGAAATTGTAAATCACATACGAGTTCTTAAAGCAGATTAAAAATTAAACCACTTTAATCTGAGTTGAAATGAAGCAATAACTGTGACCAAGTAACTTTATCAAAAAAGATAAACAGAGGAAGAACACTAAACTAACAATTAATTCTTTACACAATTTTATTTCCTTTTGTAGTAACATTTGGGTTTGACAT